AATAATCAAGTCTATCATAGTCATATCTGGTGCCCATAACATTGATGTCACCAGTTCCATAAATCATCAAATACGCTAAACTGGACCCCTTTTCCAACATTAAGCTGCGCACACATTAAATCAAATCAATCTGCCAAACTAAAATCATCATAATTTGTAGAATATGCATATCTATCTGACAAGTATATGGTCTCTACCTTGTGAGTATCCAATAGTCTTCCTACATAGCGGGTTCCTTCATGACTAATTGAAACTCCGTACTCATGTGTGCGGAGTTTGAATTTATTCCGGAAGAATACCGAAACACTTGGTCATTTGATTTACTGGATGTTCTAGGCCGGAGAAGTCTGAGCTGAAGAGGTCCATGGACTGGTCTATGAGACTGAAATATAGGGTTAGGGGTCTGCACGAACCTTGCGTTGCCCGTGTCGCCGCCAAACCTAACAAAGAAAAGAAGCAAAAGAAAGAGGTAGTATAAACGATGTACCTTCGTTCCTCAGGCATCGTAACAATCTCCTCCGTGCCATAAATCCTGATTTATTCGAGCGATTGACATCCAATGCGCCACAGAGAGACCCAGAGAGCGGGACGTGGGACATACGGCCTGGTGGCAAAGTCTTTGCGCTCCTTAACAGTGTTTGGCCCGAGGCACAGGTGTGTGTTTGTCCTCATCAGTGTCGTAATTATGTTTGGCATTGAGACCAGGATTTTTCTCTCTAGCCCGCCAATCTTTGAACCCTTTCCGATCGGGATATGCTGAGTTTATGGAGCAATGTGCCACCTGCGATGGTTTTTGGCTCTGAGTGGAAGACTCTCGATGATCCCGCTAAGCATATTATCATGCAGGCAATCCGTGAGGGGCTGGACTACAAAGCATCATTGTGGGGGCATATTGCAAGGCCGTTCGTAGCCGACAGGATGGGAGCAGTAGACCTGGTGAAGTCTTTATGGACAGCATGGCGGACGACATGGGAGGGTGTGACACGCCGAATTGAACTCAATCCAGATTCAGACGGAGGGGTGGATGTGGCCCTTGTTCATCGTTGGGGGGTGTGTCTGAGGAGGTATCTTCAAGCCTTGCCACTAGATGAGACGTCCACGGATGACAGACAGAGGTTGACTCAGTCGGAGCTTTTTGCTCTGGCTATGTCTAAAACGCAGTTCCTGCCTAAAGGACTGAGCAAAAAATATATGGTGGGCCGCAATCCTTGTGCTCTTCGGTGATGACTGCTAATGCGTGGAATACGTTTGGACAGGTGTGTTTTCATCCGGCAAATACAAACACTTGGGAGCATGCTGTTGTGAGTGTTATCGCTTACTTTGGTCTATGTATGGAACTGACTCTGTGGCGTTCTCTAGGACATGGAATTTCATCCCTGTTTCTTGTCTGCTGACGTGACATTTGTTCTGGGTGTGGTGGATCTTATTTGCAGTAATATTCCGGACGATCTTTCGACTTGTACGGCCTTTCACCAACCCCTACTCAACCAATATGTACAAAATTTTATACACTATCCCCTTGATCTACCATAACAACCTTCGCTCGAAGATTGACATCACATGGTCTTACCTCGCTGCTTCATCGATCTCGTTGTAGCCCTGGGTCTGCCAGACTGTAACCCAAATCGTAGCCTCCTAACCCTAATCATGGAATTACTTCCCAACCCTAATCGTAACACTACTTTGTAACCCTAATCGTAACATTACTTTCAAGCGTCAAAAATATTTTCCGGCCGGGACTTTCATAGGATTCCGCCCCTCGGAATCCGGTGCTCGCGTCCCATTTAGTCAGTTACTTTTCCAACTGTATAGTAGACCGGTAAGCGCAGGAGCGTGTCCTTTTAACTTGTGGGAAGTGTCCTTGTCTCTTTATCATTGACAGTGACGCTTCTCACAGTCGTTCTTTGAGTGCTCGATTATCTGTGCCTCACACTTCTGAAGTGTTTCGAACAGAGACATGTGAAGATTGGGTCACTGAGATTGATAGGAGCGGTAGGTGGGTTGTTGATGCAGTGCATAACATCGTCGTCGAAGGGCTCCTCCGACAATGTGGCCTGTCGGACTGCACGAGTAAATTCTTCTATGATGCGGAGGTCCTCGACTCAGGAAAGTGCCTCGTCCAAACTGATTAATAGACAGGACGAAGCTCAAATGCAACTATGTGGAGCTACCTTCATCATTGATGTCTTCTACTAGAACATTTGCATTTCTCTGTACATCATTTCGAGATGTTCTTGATTCCGGGTTCTTGATTGCAGCGAGAGACTTCGACTAGAGGGCGCAGCACCGGTGGCAGGGTGCGATGGATCCTGACTTCCAGAAAATGGGCTCGGCATACGAACATTGCAGTCAATTTCTGAGTGGCGGTCGTCGGTGCCTTTGCTCAAAATGTCTGGTGTAAGTGTTATGGCATAAGAACTGGATAGGATAGTGACATCACCACAAAAAGATCATGGGCATGGCCTCACAGGATCATGCACATACAGCATGGATGGATATGGGCATTGTTTTTATAGGATGGATGTCGATGGGAATACTCTGACAATACTGTATAGACATGTCCATGAGCACCCATGCAAGTGGTCTCCATTTCCATGCACCTTCCATGTACCGGTACACATGGCCGTGACCACCCATGTAATTATATGTATATTCATGTACTTCACATACTGGCTTGAGCATGTTATCAATCACTCATACAATGTGCAGTGCTTTCCACATATCTTCTAGAATGGCTTTGACATTTAATAGTGTCTGCCACGGGTATGCAAATACAGTCTACAGTGTTTTGGACCCGGACCTGCAAGGTATGGGTACGGGTTTCACCTTCTGGGACCCACAACTTTCTTTTTGCCTTTTGAGCAATGTTTCGAGTGCTCTGTGCTGTCCCAGAGCACCAAAAACAGTATTTCCAACATCTTTCAAGTGTTTGAATATTTATTCAATATTTCCATGAATTAATTGAGCAAAACCCATGCGTAAAGACCCGGTAGTCAGACTTGTGCCCACAGTCAGACCCATAGCAAGCCATAATATTTACAAGAACACATTCACAAAGTTTGAGGTAAATATCTGAGACAAGACAAGACAAACAAGCAGTAAGTGGCAAAGGTAGGCAGCGTGTGGCACACCAAAATTGCGGGCACTGCCGAGATTTTCCCACGCCCGAGCACTGTCCTTTTGCCACGTCACAGCGGAGTCAGTCAGAGTTTGATTGACTTGCTGTGGTTGAACTCGCTTATTTCTGTGTTGTCCCGACTTCTTCTCTAACTCCCATGTTCCCTGTTCGGCCTCCCTCTGTCTAGCTTGCTCCATCACTTGCTTTCTAGACTCTTTTCTAGTATGAGGTGTGTCACAACTCTCCTTTATATATTCTATTTACTGACTACTTCCACTGGTGTGTCTCTTGTATTGAGGGAGGAGGATGGACAATTAGAGCCTGAGCAATGTACTTTGATTACATGGTATGTGTCTATTTCTTTCTATTTCTCTCAATTCTATGCTCGAGGGAGGTCCACATTGCAGCTGAGCTTTAGGTATGATCCTCCATGCGAAGGGTGCCCCGCTACGGCACCGACGGGTTGGATTGTACCTAGCTTACGCTGGGCTTGACCTTCTTCTAAGTATACAACACCTCTGTTCACTGGAATCATATCTGTTCATTTACCCTTTGTCTCTGATCTCTCTTTTATGTATCTCTCTTGTCCACTACCATGACTGCCTAACCCTTTGCCTGTCTCTTACTACCCTTCCTTTCTCAACTACATATCCATCCATCTAGTAGCATGTATTCATCAGTAGTCCCTACCTCTCTTGGTTTTATGCTTGTGTATGTTACTTACTGTGTATGAATATCATTTTTTCTGCCTGTTTTCTGGTCTAGAAGTGTGTATATCCATGAATAATTGCAGAGAAATATTATTTGAAGTGATTTGTATGCAATGGTAAGAACTATATGTGTTTATATGGCCATAGTACCATGTTCATGGGCGTACATGGCCATGCACCTGAGAGCATGGGCACGTACATTCTGCATGGGAGACCATGGACATGCCACCCAATGGGTGGACATGCTCATTCATTATGGAAGGTCTATGGGTCCATATGGAGGACATTTAATGCAATGGCCATGCAAATGTAAATTTTGAGGTGATCTACCTGCAGTCTCTGACATGGGTGTTGGGCTATCTGCAGACATCCGGATACTATTTAGTGAACCGTCTACAGGCTATAAAACAAAACTATGAGCATAAAAGAATAATGAAACACTTCGGAGCATACCACAATATCCTCTGGAGTAGATTGAGAGGATTGCTTTTGAAGAGAAGATATGTGTTGCTCTTCGAACAAAGTGTGCTGCCAAAGAGGTGGATGCTGATCTCGTCATTCTTCCTACGAAACACATCAAGTGACCAGGGGCTCTGATGTGTACAGTGCTATGTACCGGAGGATGGACCAGACAAAGAGGCCGTGGTTAAATATGCAAATAAATGAGGTGCAATTGTCCTCCTTCCTTTGATCAGCAACACCTCCTCGGTGTGTAGACGAGAACCGTCCACTTCCGATAAGTAATGCTCGTACTTTGCAGAATCCACCGGCTCATCTTACGCTTCCATTGTGAGTAATCTGAAGGCGACACCTTCCAAGAACAACGGTATCATGGACATCTTGAAGAGCTCGCTTGAGTGAGTCTTTTCCATTTCAGTTTCTGCTCTTTTTTTTCTGACCACTTTGCAGACAAAATATTGCTAATGCCGATGTAGAGCAGCGTCGTAATGCTGTCTGAGCTGTTTGCGAGCATAATCGAAGCTTGCGCGCAGATTGTAACTCCCGTCAAGATCGACTTCTCAAGCAGTATGAATCCAAAATCTGGTCACTTGATGTGTTTCGTAGGAAGAATGACGAGATTGAGAAAGAGGTCGAGGGGCAGATTGCCGAGCTTGAAGATGAGATTAGTGACCTTCAGGGTCAAAAGAAGCGGAAGGCTCCTGTTCGTCAGCGTTCAGCATCTTGGGATCCGGCGCAGTTGGAGCGTGATATAGGTCTTGGCTCTTCGGTACAGCCTGAGGGTATGGATGATGGATGGTCTTGGAGTTGGTTCTTAATGTGTGTCTGCCTAGGTTCGATTTTGTGGTGACTCTCTTTATACCCATATTCCCGTTGTGTTGTCATCATTGTGTTGTCATCTTACCATAGTAGTTGTTTCTGTTTCTTGCCTCTGCCTTCTTGCTGTACTGTTACAAAGTTTTTATTCTATATACCTATGAAAACATAATCACGTCAAATTTTGGCATTTCATGGGAAACATTCTGCTGAAGGTCATCCTTAACAATTCCCCCAAAAATGCTACAGGTCATGAATCCTCAATATCTTTGTTCAGAGGTTCAGTAAGACAGTATTCTCATGCTTCTTACTTACACTCCTTTGCTCACGATGCCTATATTTATAATGCATTAATGTAAGAGTGTGTGTTGGTCAATTTATTGTATCCCTCGCAATTGCAATCTCTTGAACAAGCTGACGCCGCCTTGACTCATCCTCGTCATCCTCGTAATTCACCGGTGCATCCCTCTGGCCTCTATCCTCAACCTCCTCAGCCCGTGTATGTAATCCTGAGAAATGAGCACCTGCAGTCCACCCATTGATCTCCAAGACAGCATTATGAAGGAGTACACAGCACGAAACCATCTACAAGCATTATAATGATCTTCCTGCGTGTTGATAGGAATACGAAGCCCACGCAGGGACTGCCTGCCACCGTCCCTTCAATGCTGCCATACAATGCTCAGAGCGTACACGAAAATGAGAGACAATTTTATCAAAGAAAGCATTGTCACGGTCAAAAGCAGCGGGTCGTTTATGAACGGGAATGGTACGCCGGTTGACGGTATAAGCAGAATCACCCCATGCAAATTCGTCACCTCAGAAGAACCAATCTGCATCTGACCCAGCAGCGGTCTCCTCGAAGGCTGTTGAATCATGAGTTGCCCCAGTATTGCCAACGCAGTAGTCTCCGATGGATGCGGAGATTTGAGGGCACATTTCCGATCTGTGGCGGAAAGTCACATTAGTTGGATTCACAGTCAAGAAATTTAGAAGAAGATCAACATGAATTGAATGGAGGAATATATTGATCACGTGGGTGAAGATCGAATTAGGCGCGGGTGAGTTGGTGGTGACGACAAGTTTGAGGGTGGCGGATGCTATTGGGAGGAAAAGGAGATAGCGGAGGTCGATGAGGAGGTGCTGATACAGAGAGACGGTGGTGGATGAGGTTGAAAAGAACTCACATAAACGGTTATTCTCCTCCGCAGTTGCTTTACCTTTCGTCAACCTTCCTCCATTCCCATACCCATTGAAGTTGGTGTCCGTTGTCCAGAGAGTCCGTAGATACAGTCTCGTGAGGGTTGGGTAGTGCCCTGCAGACAGGGATCCAGATCACGAAGCGGAGGAGCGTTGACCCACCTCCACTCGGATGGTTCACCATCCCTCATCGTATGTCTCTTCAGCTATCACTTCAATTTTTTTTTCTTTCAACAGCTACAGGTTGGCAATGTTCCGTGAGGAGTTGTTGCTTGCACATGCTAACTTTATCACCGCAGCTGTGTCATCTCCGCCCCTCCACTCTTCCTCCTATATTTCTCCTGCCCTCTCCCGCCCTCTTTCCCGACCTCTCCCACCCTTATATGCCCTCGTTGCCCTATTCTTGCTTACGCTCGTCCTCCCTGTCTTCATCCACACACCCTTCCTCATTTGTACCTCTTTTTCTATCTCACTTCTTCCTCTTATCATCGTCATTCTGGTACCGCACATGCACACCCTTCCATACCCACCCACCTTCGTGCTCACATCCCTGCTCTTCCCCGTCGCCCTTCTCCATCCATCTTCTCCGTCGCTCTCTTTCACCACACTCACATCCACATCTTCTCTTCCTTGCTCACTTCCATTTTCATCCCCGTTCCTTCACCACTCGGCTTTCACCCACTCAGATATGACCTCTCACATACATGCAATGCCTGCACTTGCACATGGGCGGGAATCAAGTCGGTCATTGAAACTGCGGGCTGTAAAGTAAATAACATATATGTCACCCTCCTTTCTATATACCACTTGTAACTTACTCACCAATTATTTATGATCCTCGGCATTCCATCAAGGGCTCAACGTTGACCTTGCAAATGGGGGATTTGTGTAGCCTCTATAAATGTATGTTCAATTCTCTTAGGACCAATGTCTTAAGTGCTACCGCTTGCTGACTTTGCTCTAACGAGTCCACTCGGTTAGAGATTGCACGTCAGTCTTGTGAGTTGCCGTTCCTTTGTTGACCTCTCTGGCTATGGGCTTTCACCACAACTGCGCTGATCTGTTCCCTCATAGTGTTATCTTGCTTCTTCGCTCAGTCGTTTGTTTACACATCACCCTCTTTTGGTCGGTGTCACCGGCTACGATCTTGTGAGTGATGATAATGGTCTCTCGTTAGCGCTTGTCAACGGTAGATATATTGTTGTGCCTTCCTCAGGAGTATGCTGACACCCTCTCACCTTCGGCAATACTTCCTCTACACTCCTACTGATTGGAGACTCCTATGGACAATAGCAGCCCTTGTCGTGTGGGAGTAATAGCCAGGTAGGGTGAGACTAGTCCTGAAGTGAATATCTGGGGTGCATGTTTTTCTGCACTTCGAGTGTCTGTATGTTTTTGTTTCGATGCTAGTGTTTGTTTTCTTTTATCCTGTGTAATGCACTTGTATGTGCTTTGTGTGATACTGTCTAGTATAGTGCTTTCACAATGCATCAACGGTGCTACAGTGTACTTGTCTCTGACCATTTACTGGCTACCCTCATATGCCAGTTTGGTGAGTTTCTACGTGCCCTTCATCTTCTTGCTGTACCATTGTTGATGTTGGTGTTGTCTTCTGGTTCATCCCCTCTGTAGTGTAGCTGATATGTATGATGGCTGGCTCTTTGTTTTATACTTATACTTAGTCCTTCCTGTCCATTTCCCCATTATCTACAACCTCTTGTTTTGTCTCTATTCTTATCTACAGTGTTGAATGTATCTTTATAGTGATTGAATGTCATCTAATTTTGCTCTAACATAGATTCTCAGAGTGAATATTTGAGATTTTCTCCATCCTATTAAGTAACTATATGGCCAAACAGTTAGCTATTGGCACTAAGAGCTGCCTATAGCTGCTTAGTAGGTAAGAAATAGGACCCTAGATAGGACCCTAATAGGCAGCTATAGGTGCAAACATATTCTGGGACATAGCTTAAATCTGCCTACGCCTATGGTTGCCTATAGGTGCCTATAAGTGACTACTGGGGCCCTTTAGGTAGGGGGGTTTTTCCTGATGTATGTTGGATATAGGGGAGGATGGAGAGGGGATGGGTGTATACCTTGAGAACAAAGGCTCACGTTGATGAGGCGTCAACACCAGCGTTTTTGGAGGGTTAAAGACCCCCAGGAAATGTTAAGATACAAGGAAGGGGCCTACCAGAAAAAATATGGTCAGTGATATTAGATATGGGGGAGGGTGGGGGAGGGTGGGGAGGAGATGTGGGCGCACCGGGAGAACGAGGCTCCGAATTGACGGACCGTCAACACGAGCACATTCGGCGGGTATAAAAACCCCCAATGACGTTGAGATGGGGTCCATGAGGATACCAGAAAGAAATCTATAAGTTATTTTAAATTTGAGGGGGGTGGGGAGGAGATGTGGGCGTACCACAAGAACGAGGATCCGCATTGACACACCGTTGACATGAGCGTGTTCGGAGGGTTCAAAAACCCCCGTAAGCATTAAGGTAGAGCCTGTCAGAAGGCCAAATAAATTCAGGTGCAAATTTGTGGATCTGGGGAAGGATGAGGGGAAGGGTGTGGGCGTACCGGCTGAACGGGACCTCGCGTCGACGGACCCTCGATGCGAGTGTGTTCAAGGGGTTCAAATACCCCCGGAACCATCGACATATGAGAGATGGGGCCACCAGAAAAAAGGGAATTTGGAGGGGAGTGGGGCATACCGGGAGAACAGAAGCGCGCGTCGAGAAACTGTTGACATAAGTGTGTTTGTAGTCTTTGATTACCCCGGGAAACGATGAGGTATGGGTAATGGGCCCGCCCAAAAAATCAGATTAGCCATTTTTTGTTTTTGAGGGGGAGGGGAGGGGAGAAAAGCGTACCTAGAGAATGAGACCTCGCGTCAATGGACCGTCCACGGGAGCGTGTTCAGGGGGTTCAATGACCCCAGGAAGCGTCAAGGTAAGGCCTGTGAGGTGGCCAAATAAAATCAGGTGTACATTTTTTGGTTTTGGGGAAGGAGGAGAGAGACCGGGAGAACAGGACTCCGTGTCGACAAATGGTCGACGGGAGCCTGTTCAGGGAGTTCAATAACCCCCAAGGACATCGATAGGGTGACTATGAGGCTGTGAGAAAAAAAGATTAGCATCCTGTGGGAGGAGGTAGGGGTAGAAAAGGAGTGGCGCTCCGGGCCGGAGCGCGTGACATTAACATGACACGACACGAGTTTGGATTTGGCAGAGACTGTCCGAGATATGAAGCGCAGCATAACAAACGTCATTTGCGCCACAGTCTCTGCTAAAACGTGAAACACATGTCACGTGACCTCGTTACAAATGGGATAGACGAGGAAAAAGGAGGGAAAAATAAAAACTATATATATAAAACAATGGATGAATGTACAAAGAACACACCATAACACACAGCCACTCACAATAATCCCAAGTCACTCCACACACTCAATGACACATTTTTCATGTCGTCTTCAGGGCGAGTTGGGACTTGAAGCGGTGGGTAACGGAGTACATTGACTAAGGAGTGAGATGAGGGAGACCATTTGGATGAAGAAGACAAGGGGTGTGTGGTGTGGGAATTGACTGAGATGATGGGGATGGTGGGAGTGTTGACGACGACAAAGTGCAAGCGCTCAGTGTAGTCAGACAGAGCCAAATGCGAGTTGAGCTGGCAAATGCCGGGTGAGCGTCAAATCACGTTGTCGGGTGCTTATTCGTCGATGTCCGCACTCACCGACTGTTGAACAGCATCCTGCAAGGCGTTGTTGAACATGGCTCGTCAGGAGCCACACCAGTCACATGATGACTGGTGCCACCTAGCATTTTGCTGCAGGAGCTTAGTCGAGCCTGCGAGACAGAAGCTCTTGCAAAGGCTGCCTACAGCCGTTTGCATATGAGATCGGAGTGATGCCATCAGAAAAAAATGGTGTGCCTGAAATAATCTTACCTATTGTGGCACCACATCGGAGAAACTCAGTGTGAGGGTCACTGTGACCACTGTGTGACAGGGTTGAACGCGAGTGCGCTGACCTTTACGATGTTCTTCATGTCTCGCAACCATCTGTGCTCGGTATTCAACGCGTTCAAGCGTTCAGCATGCTATTTCCCGGTCTCAACGGAGAGGAATCCCTTCACAAACAATATTCATCAAGGCACAAAGTAACAAGATCATGCAATCGAGAGGCGATGCATGAGCGGGCAACACACGTTGGTGAGTGTCGTCCTTGTACTCAATGTTCACGGTAGAAGACGTCCAGCTGTATTGAACAGAGTACAGCAGCTCGTCAGGATCGCTCTTGACTGTGATAGTGCACTCCAGGTTGTACCTGTTGAGTCAACTGTCTGTCTTCCGAATAGCAGCACTTCAACTTGACTTCACTCTAGGTCAGGACTTCAATTACCCCATATATCTTTATTTGCCAAGTTCACCGTCCTCCCAACAGCAACGAAAATGAAAGCTGACTGCTACCAACAGTCTCACTCATCCTCCCTGCACGCCACTGCTCCACATCGAAGTGTTTCGGGTGAATCCAATACATTATCCTTTCCTCCCAGTCTTGCGGAAGTTCTCACCAATTCTCCTCCAGATAAACAGCTGCCCTTGTTAGAGAGGTAGAGGTGCCACACTCAAGTCTTGAGAGCAGCATCACTCTCCCAACAGATCCTGTGGCCAATATCCTCCAGAAATCGAGATTATAACTCTACAAGCATAGATCTGAGTGTTCACAAAAAGTTTGAAGTGTATAGATAGGCTAGAGGATGAGATAGAGGTGATGTGCTGGCTGAGGGAGCCACAGACAGGGCCACTGAGACGCGTCATCTGCAGATGTTGCCACTGCTTGCTAAATATGGCAAGAGATGACAACATGTGGCTGCATGCGACTTCACTCAATATATTGACTTAGCACATAGTTTCTGCAGCTATGTCTGCTGTATATATCTTGATCCAAGGATTCTCTCATAGTATACAGTCTATCAGTGGTTTGATTGAGTAAAATTACTTGAGGAGAGATATAAAATATGATTTTTCGGATTTCTGGTGCCACCTTGCCAAATATACTTATTACAGGTAATTTGGTCTCTGAAATAAAGCTATATGGCTCCTCTATTACTGGTAAAAGACTAATGTCTTGACTCAGTGAGCAAATGTGATGATGTTTATGAAGTTGTGTGGCACAGGCCAAAATGTGGCCCAAATTGCTGGCGCGCCAGCAAAAAATGCTGACAAATGTCACGTGACTTGTAACTTGTGCATCCACGCTCTTCAAGCCCTCACTGTGGCTCTCTATCCAGGTAAGCTATGAACCTCAAACTCTTTATAATCTTCATGAAACACATCAAACTGAACTCTTTCAATATGGTTTGGTGTATAATAATTTGAAGATAAATTGTTTAATAATGAGTTAAGCTAGAGTGGCCCAACTGGTGCCACTTGAAGTTGTTTACACATGTTTGTTGCCTGTTCAAAAGCGACGCGCGTCGCTTTCATCCAAGTCCTCTTGCTCTTCTTCCTCTTCCATCACTACTGCACTTGAGTGGTTACTTTTTCAATGCCTTCTACTTGCTTACTCGTTCTTTTTCTTCTTATATATATAGGTATGTCTAATCTTGCTCTTAACATATACTGTTTTGAGCTATCTTTCAGTTGTCTGGTTGTTTTTAGAATATAGGCCTAATTGTATGGATATGAGACTGTATGTTTTTGTTCTATTCTACTTATGCACAGTCTATCTTACTAACATTCTTTGTATGCTTCTTCTAGAGTCTGTATCAGATCCTAGTGAGCAGGTATGTGCCTTTATTTTCTTTTGCCTTCAGCACCTATGTCTCACTTCTTTGTTTTTCTATGTATGTAGAGATCTCTGGCCTCTTGGTAGATCATTGGTAAGTTTATTCTTCATACTATCTACTCAGGGATTGGATCTGATTCTATGTTTCTTCCAACAGGACTTATGCAGGTTAGTAATTCACAGGGATTTTTTTCATGTAATTTATTGTAGCACAGTGTTGTCATGTATCTGTACCCTACTTTAGTGAATATATAGTCTTTCTTTGTCTTCCTGATGAGTGTGATGATCCTATAGAAGAAATCCTAATCCAAAACAATATTAGTTGGGTGGAAAATGACTATAGAAGCTCTGAGAGCTCTGAGAGCACTGAGAGCTCTAAGAGATATTGCCACTATACATAGGAACAAGAGATAAGTTGCTAACATTGATATGGTAGCTCTCAATGCTCTTCAACAATATTTGCTCTATAGTATCCCTATGAGAAATTTCCTGATTTGCTGATGTCCTCCTTCCCCCCTAGACACGGCACCACTACCAAGGCCACGATCATCGTTTTTCTGTCCGGTATGCTTCCCATCACTTGGTATCGATATAGGACCAACCATGACAGCAAAAACCAAGGTAATCGAACCACTGTATCCCCAGTTTTGGCCTGCCCACCCCCTTTCACCTCGATAGGGAAATATCTTGCTGACCGTTTACGCTATAACTTCGGAACGAATGGACAGATTCCTTCAAAAATCGATTTGAACTATCTTATACATTTATCAATGTTTGTCAAATAGTCAGAACCCCCAGAATAGGCCTCCTTCATGTTGCCGAAATCGGGCCACAATTCACGTTTTGTACCTCAATTCCATCGAATTGACACCTGGCAATGCGATCCATTCGTCCTGATTCACAAAACTCACAAAGTTACCAAAATACCCCCAGATCACCCCGTTTCTCCTACCAATCTACCCCCAGGTATCCAGTACCCCCACCCTAGCATCTCTACTATTATTCCACCATTTTTCCGTATTTTTATTGGCTACCGTCCCATTTCTATTCACCATATGATCATCCCTGCCCATATTCCACATTTTATCCATACATAACCCAGCCCATTTCACTATATACACCCTACCTACCCGCCCTATCCATTTCCCAGCACACCTACCCCATCCCTCATCCCTACCCTACCCCCAGGACCATCCCCGTACGCCCTACCCCATCACCCTGGGCCACCCGGCCACCCAGAATCACCCCCCGGCCGCCCCAGTAGCCAGCCCAGTACTGTCATTTATAATTCTTGGACCAGAGGAACCTTTGTAAAGGACCCCCTTCTTACTAGCAGGTACCTTTATAAAGGTGGTACATCCTCTGGTGAGTACTAGAGGAGGAACTCAAAGACTGCCCACTTGACGAGGGCGCCTCTGAGCGAGACGGGCAGATGGTCGTCGAGAGAAAGAGAAAGAAAGAGTCAAGAGTGAACAGGCACAACGTTGCAGTGTCGTGGGAGAGAACGGAAAGGCGTCCGAGATGATCTGGCGGTCCGGATCATTGAGCAAGTCTTGAAGAGAAGAGAAAAGTGTTCACGGGCTTTGTCCTTGAGCGACACGTCTCGGGTGAGGCGTACCGCGCACAAAGGAGAGAGAGAAAAAGAGAAAGAAGAGAAATGTAGAATTAATGCAAGATGAGCCCTACAAGGAGGGCGAGGCGACGCTAAATACATTTCGGCTACAATTAGAACTCCGACTAGACACGTGTATACGGAAGATGCTGTTACGTGGCTTAAGACTGTACGTGGCGCGCTACTCCGACTGAGGATGTGGCACTATGGAACAAGTAAGTACGCGAAAAAGGAATCCAAGAAAATGTGTGTTACACCTGCAATTCATTTACTCTGAGTCACAAAACTTATAAAGTGACCAAAACACCCCCAGATCACCTTATTTACCCTATCAATCCGCCCCCACAGTACCCAGTATACTCATCCCAACATCTCTGCTATTATTTCCGTATTGTTCCGTATTTTTATCGTCCATCATTCTATCCCTATTTATCTATCTATCTACCCTAGTCCTACAGCCCATACCTAGCCCCATACATCCTCTTCATACCCTGCATACAGTTATCCTAGCCCTACTGCATAATTACCCCCCATTTTCCTACTCTATCCTACCCCCTACCCCATCTCTTACCCATTCCCAAATCACTCCCCTACCCCGGGGCCATACCCCCTACCCATTCACCCATTTTTTGCTTATTTTTTTGCCCAATTTTCCGGCCAGAATATCCACTAGCACCACTGCTCTTTAATAAAGAGCCCTTAGTAGCATGGGCCATTATTGCTATTTGCAAAATGAATGAGATTTGTAAAAAATTAAACTACCCATGCCGCCTCATCCGAAGTGGTCGTAGGTTCGAACCAAGTGCTGTCCATGCTCTCGCAGTTGAGGAATTCTGCAAACACATCCCCATAATCCCCATATGAGCTCTCATGATGTTATGCATAGTGCTCTGACATTTTACTCATGGAACATCAGCAAGTTTGAGGATATGCACAATGACCATGGTACAGATCGAACCCACGACCTCCCCGACTAGGTGGCATCGTGGTGGCCCTCGCACACCCAACCTTTTTTTTTTTTTGCGAGTCTCATTTGTTTTGCAAATAGCAATAAGATGATGGGCTCTTTGTAAAGAATCCCAGTCTTACTATAGGCACTCTTTATAAACAGGCTACAGCTACGCCTGCCCCTTACCAGCTCAATCTACATTATCCATATACAATATTCAGCCTCCGCCTCCCATACGAAAATGCTAAGAACAGGCAGGTTCTCTATCAGTGGATCACTTGCTCCAGCTGTTGTGACAGAGCTTGATGTCACTATTGTCCTAATTGGGGAGGAGAACACAGATAGGTATGTGCTCGTACAAAGTCAGCAAGAGTCTATAGAGTGACCCTATCTAAAGTCAAGGGCTCAAAACAGTAGCGAGG